GGGGGGGGGGGTGCGGGGAAAAGTCTTTTTCTGTAAGTGACAGAGGTTTGTTGTTAAATTCAGCAGGGACTAGAGAAAAATGCGTCAGGAATTCTATAGAAAACATTCTCTGGAGATATTTTTCCAGTGTCACAGATTCAGGAATCTTGGAGCACCCTGCTGTATGGATGCTTGCTTGATGCAGACAGAGAGGCAGTGCGAGTGCAGATGAGATCTGATGCGCTTTGTGTTGCTGTGGCTTTTAGGAAGAGAAGTCCCTTTCCCCTTCCCACTTCTATTTTCCTTCCCTTTTCTCTTAAAGCTTCAGAGTCTCACCTTCCCTACTGGGGCAGCTTCCTGGCGTTATGGACTTGAATGATACTTCTTGTTTCTTCTGAAAGAAGTTGTTGGTGTTGCTGTGGTTTTGAATGATAAAGAAGGAAGACCCTGGGGCAGTGAATGCCTCAGCTACATTTGCAAACTTCCACAGATGAGCAGTCAGTGTATGCAGCTTAAACTACCATGAAAGGACAACAGGAAGTGATTTTTTTTGAGAATAGCATCATATTATATTCTTCTCTGAGCAGATAATTTATTCAAGAAGTGACAGATTGTCTCGTCTGTCTGAGGCACTAGCCTGCAACTTGCATCTAGCTGTGGTTGCCACAGATTGCCTTTGCTGTCAATATGTAGTGTATCCAAGCATAAAATGAACCATCAAACCACATCTTAGAGGTGCTGTGTTAGGTCTGAGTGGCCAGGATGAGAAACCTTGAAAGACTATTGCCCGCACCTGCATCACAGATCCTCTTAAGGCTTTGATCTGCAAAGCTTTAATTCAGCATGCTATATTAGCACTAAATTTATTTCTATATTATATGTCCTGTAAGATATTAATAGCTCACACAGCAAGTGTCTTTTGGAGCAAGTGTCGGCTTTCCTGTGTAAATCCTGAGTAATTGATCCTGGAATATGGCACAGGAAAATGCTTGAAAACCAGGTGAGAAATGCCAGAGCTTACTCTGGAAAGATCAAGTATACAAGAACGTAAAATTTACTTAAGAGAGCTAGTGCAGGGAGGTGTCCTAGAAACTGAGTATCCCATGTAGTAGAGAAAATTTTTTCCAATGCCCAAGAGAAACAACAGAAAATCACAGAGAAGCAGTTTTTCAGGAGTCTGACACTGAAAAAGGGAGTCTGCAGCTTGCAGCTTCTTCCTGATACATGGCGAAACTTCTGTCAGAGTTCCATAAAGCTGCTGATCTATGTCATATCCCTTGGTAAGTCTCACTTCTGCTGAGTGCTGCTGCTTGTGAGAAGCTTGACCAAGGGTGAAAAGGTCTGGCTATTAACTGGCTTATCCTCCCTGCTGATGCTGCGTGCTGACCAGAAGGTGTTCGGGTCAGTGGAAGGGTTCCTAGTCACTTCTTTGAACTTTGGCCCTGCGCTGGCCAAACGCTGGCCTGTGCAGGGTTATGTTTGTGTTTGTCCATCTGTCCTGGCTGTTTGCCTCTCTGTGACGCAGGACTCTCGGTGGTCAGTCAAGGCTTGGGTAGGGATCTCTTAACCCATAGGAGGTTTGGCTGTCTTCCTCTGGTGCTGGCACCGAAGGCACTGGTGAGGTGGTAGCACTTGCTTAGATTCCCAACCCACAGCGTTCTCCTCAGCGAGCAGACCTACAGTGAGCCTTTGGTTTTCTCAGCTTTAGGCTCAGGTTCATTGGTGAAAGGCTTTCACAGTAAAACTCTGCAGCTTCCCTTGAGCTCAGCACTTGCTATTCGTCTTCCTGAGTCCTTTGTTCACCCATACTCCATAAAATTGATAGTAAGAAGGACACAAATATTACCTTCTAATATTGCTTGCTTTTGTAGGAATGTTACCTTCTGTTTCTTTGGCATGAAGATTGACCTCTGGCTGGTGCTGATGCTACAGTTCAGTGGTGCACCATTCAGTGTGCACTATGCTCTGAGATTCTTCTTTTGTTTAATTATTACTATTTTTTCATTTTATCCCAGACAAAGCATGTGCTAGGACAGCATCCTTTAAAAGGCCTTGCCATCGTTACCTGCAATTGTGGCAGTAACTCAGTTACTGCAGTTTCCATAATTCTCACCAGTGCAGCAGTGTAAATAAACAGGGAGCGGTGAGACACATGATGGGAGCCAGAAGCAGTTTAGCCACAAGAGTTTATCATCAAGATACAAAACAATCTGGAGCAAGGGAATTGTTTTCTTTGCCAGCTCATGGTTCTCTGACTGCTGGCCAGATAGATGGTGCCTTTTTTTTTTCACTGACAAAATATTCCTTCTTGCAGAGCTTTGGTGTTTCCCCTGATCTCATTGTGGACACAAACTACGTGAAAGAGCTGTGCTGATGCTGTTTCAAAGAGACATCGAGCCTCCCTGTATGTGGGGAGAGTTCAGCAGAACATCAAAGATACCTGCACAGAGAGTTATATTAGGCAGCTCTGGTTTGGTGGCTGTGTTTTGAGGGGCATTTGCAAGACTTTCCTGATGGTCCCTTTAAAGAGTCATTCCTATTACAGTGAAGAGCAAAATGATTTTGTAAACTCTGGGCGAGAAGATAGGACTCATCCCAATATAAGTCTCAGGAGTTGATGAACTCCTGTTTGAAATGTGTGGAAAGTTAGCCTTTGTGTGCAGGTTTGGAACAACAGTCTGTACCGGTGTTTCTGGACTCTAGGATGATAGATAGTCATCTGACAGTCATCAAAACTAAGAGTGCAGTGGGCAAAAGCACACAGCTGCTGAGACCAGCAAGTAGGAAGGTTCAAAACAGGTGCTTATTTGTAATTCTGAACACTTCACTTTTGTACTGGTCTTGCCTAATGAGGCTTTGACAAACCTGGCTGTAAAGAGAGTCATTCTGGACCAATGGAGGTGGACTGTGTCCTGTAGATAAGGAGTCCTGACTGCTGGACCATATCTGAACGATGGTGGCCACTGGAAAGTGATATCCATCTGGAGAAGGTTAAAGTCCTGGTATGAGACAAGTTTGATTTAAGTCCCACATCATAATGATGCCTTCTAGCATCTCTCAGATAAGGGACTAAGTGTTGTTTGCCAAGGTTAGAAATTTATTGGGAGAGCACTTTTCAGAGTTAAATACATCCTTGTGGTTTTGTTGATTTATATATTTTATTGTCATTAAGTTCTTCTAGCCTAACTTTGATTGTATAACATAGTACAAGTGATTCCTGCGTCAAGTCCATTGCTTCTGGCTTTGTTCAAGGTCAGGTTTAGTATGGTGCTAAGGGAGCTGTTTCCCCGTCCTGTGTGCTTCCCTCCCCTTGTTAACCCTGGCTGGTGTTTTAATGATGTGGTGGCTCTGTGGCTGCCTTTCTACCTCCATGCCTTCCTCACTGCTTTCCTACCTGGGCAGCACTTGGTCATTTAATAAAACTGCATCAATCTTTATTTTTGAGAAATCTGAATTTGTACCTAGAAAGAACAGCAAGGCTGAGCTGTCATCAGGTGTATCGTTTCATTGTGACTCAACTTAGATATATGTGCTTGAGTGGCAATTACCCTCTTCACCCAAAGTGCTCCCAGAACACCACGGAGCGTCTCCAGGACACTTCCCCCATCCCACGTTTGGCAGACCACGCAGCTCCAGCGCACCGCCGTTACAGAGAACCGCAGAGACCTGTCCAGCTGCTGGGACACACGGTGCCATTTGTCCAGGTTGTCCAGGAGTCAGTGTTGGCAGGATGCCCATCTCTAATATCTGTACACCTTGCCTGCGAGGTTGTTATTCCTACCCTTACAAAGAAGTGCATGGGTCCTGTCCAAACCAGTAAGATTTAAGAGGTAAGGCAGCTGGTTCAGCAGGTGGGTCTGTGGGGTGAGGTACTGCAGCGGGGTCGGAGTGTCTCCCTGCTGTTATGAAGGCACTAGCACTGTGTTTTGGCACCAATTTGTTTTTCCTTTGGCATTTCCCCTTATATATTGACCAAGCTGCAGCCTTGAGGTTTACCACCTCCTGGTACCAGAGTCTTCACAGAGAGATTTTAAGAAAATACGTACAAAAAGGTACCCAGACCATGAACGCTTTAGGCAGAATCAGTCTACCAACCCTCTCTACGGGGAGCCCTCATACACCAGGTTACAACCGCAGTGTCAGATAGACACTGCTGTTCCTATGGAGATGGAAAAATGTTTGGCTGTTTAACTCGAGATGGTTACAAACCACAAAATTGTCTACTTTACTCCACAGTGAGGAATATATACTGCTCAGTGAGGATTCCTTTATTGAACTGGTCCAGTGAAAGGTGTCCTCAAAAGGTTCCTTTTGTTCTTCCAGGCTCTCAGTGTCCCACCTCATGTGTCATACATCTGCCTTTGCTACAGGGCTTCGCTGAGCCTTATCACTGAGGGGTAAATGACATCCTTGTTACCGTAACAACTGTCTTCTGA